GGGGGGAGCGGGTGGGGGGGGGCAGGGCGCGCTCCTTCCCCTGCTCTGGGTAAGGCCTGCTCCCGGTGGGAGGTGGACGCCGGCCTCGGAATCAGGGCGGTGGGGTTCCAAACTCTGTCCCCTTGTTGGGGCCCGCTTTAGCAGCACCCCTTCCCCTGGCCCTGCACGCTGGCTGGCGCGGGCAGCCTGTCTGCCCCTTCCCTGCCCCCTCCGCTGCTGCACCCCAGCCCCTAGGAAGAGAGGCAGCTTGGAGGGGGCCAAATTCTGGGTCAAAGATGGACCGCGGGGTAAAGGGGACACCCCGGGCCTTTGAAGAGGAGTCCATCCACAGAGGCAGTGATGTGGAGGTCAGGGGGTCAGAAGGGACCGCGGACCCGGCAGCCCTCTGGGGATCCCCCAGGAAATCTGGAGCCCCGCAAGGTCACTGAGCTACCCCGCCCCCCACTAGTGGGACAGAGGGAGGGAACAGCTCATTTCCAAAGACGTTTTCTCCCCGTGGAATCTGGATAATTTCCCTGGGGAACTGCAACAAGAAAAGGGCTCTGCAAACAGATTCCCGTGCAGATAAGTTGGCATTTAAAAGAGAAAGGGACACTGAGCTCCTTTGAAGGGAGGATTGAGGAGACAGCTCCACCCATCCTCTAGTGTGGAGGCCACTGGGGCCCCAGGGCCCTCCTGGGTGCCCTGGCCTGGGGCGCAGCCTCCCTGGACCCCACCCGACTGATAACCCTCTGCTTCTCTCCTCTGCAGATGACCAGAGCCTGGCGGAGGAAAAGGGACTGCGCTGTCAGAACCCCAACTGCATGGACAAGGGGCGGGCAGCCAAGGTAGGGAGGCTGGAGGGCCTGGGTTGCCGGGGGCAGAGAGGACAGGGCTCCAACCCCCTCTCTATTCAGGCATGGATACCCACCGTGTCCTCTGGGTTCAAGGGTGGGCAGGGCCGCAGGGCGGCTTGTTTAAGAGGCCAAGGGGCCGCCCTTGGCTCAGAAACAGCAAAATGGAGGGGACTTCTGTAAGAACAGGGGGCAGGGGTACACCAAAGCCCTTTCCTGCACTGCAGTCCTTGTGGCCACCCTGAGGTGACAGGACCTGTGGCCCCATGTCACAGATGAGGAAGCTGAGACCCAGGAAGAGAAAGGACGCCCCGC